ACTTCCCAGGTTGTTCAGGATACTCAACACATCTCCAAAGAGAAATTCCAGATCAATGACTGATTGAAAAGTTTACCCCACCGGCTTCACCAGATCCTCCAGCACAGCAGTGAGTGAACATTACCATCTAATGGTTGTGCCTGCTAATTACAGCTATAATTCCTACTTTAATGGTGGAGGCTGGTCCTTGTGTAAGTACTGATGCACTGAAAAGGCTGTAGGATTGGAAAACAAATAAACATGGAAAGATAATAAAAGCAGAATTTATGATTTTGCAGTACCCATCAATCACCTCTGGTGGGCAAGGTGAATGGAGGAATCCTGCTAAAATGTTTCTGGCTAACATGTCACAGTTGCTGCACTGATGGCTACACGTGCTGCAGACACATGAACAATGACCACCATAAATAATAATCCAATGCATTAGTAACTGTGAAAGCCTTTTAAGATTCTAATAGTGAAACATGATTCCAGCCTCTTTTTTTCCCTGACAGCAGGATGAAATTTCTCCCATCCCCTCCCAGGCCAATGCCAAGGGTTGCACCAGTCCCAAGCTTCTCCCCAGTCCTTCTCCATTTTGTTGCAGGTGTTATCTGCACCAATGGGCACATCTAGAAGCAGCAGAGATGATTCAGGCTGATGATTGAGAAAGCTAGGGCTAGGGACTAAAATCCTGGAAGCCTGGGTGTGGGATGAAGGTTGCTATTTCACTGAGCTCTTTGTCAGAGGAATAGGAGAAATACAGATCTGTATGTGCTCATGACATAGACTCATTCTCCTTATTTCCAGCCCTGCTTTTTCTGTTGGAAATTGCAATTTCCACCGTAGGTTTGATGAGAGGTTTACACAGCTGATGCTTTCACAGTGTAGCCTAAAACATCACACCTGACTCATTGCTCTCCTGCTAACCCTTTATGGGAGAAAGTGACAGATGAGAGGTTCCCAAACTGTGCTGATTCTGCACTTTCCTGTAGGATGAAGTCTTGCCCCCACTCATTCTAAAGGTGCTGGAAGAACAATCCCCCAGTTTGTTTCTTGATTCCTGCAGTCTCAGCTATTTGTGTAATCCCATGCAAATCAAGAGCTCAGTGTAACAAAAGGTCAGAGCCCACGAAAGAAGTTAATTATGCAGCTTGCTTTGTCTGTAAGCATGGATCTCTCTGTTCCACTCCCTTCTGCCATCAAATGGATGTGCTTTTTGGATATTGCTTCACTACAGAGGTTGTCATGTACCAGAGACTGCTCAGAGGATCCCAGGCCATGGCAGAATTCCATGGCATCTCCTGGCCTCAGGTGAGCAAGGGCTTCCCTGTGATTGTATCAACACCTGGCAGCATTCCTCAGTGAGCTGTGGCATGGAGTGATTGTTCTTTGCCAAGGCACAGAGAGGAAGAAGAGCTCTTAAATGAACACTGAGCTCTGCTGCAGCCAGCACTCACTGCTGTGCCCTTCTTTTTTTAATAATGATCCCTCTGCAACCATTCCTAGCTTACTATGCCTACAGACTCTTGAATCACCTGTAACAGCTCTCTTCAGAGAGACTTAGCCTGACTTATATATATAATATGCAGCATCAAATTTGCCGTGGGGCCAGAATCAGGTTTTTCCTCTTAGCTTGTGCCTTGGAGGGTTTTGTAATAACCCTGATTTCCTGTGTTAGACTGGGCTGCAAGACCTATCCAGAATAAACAGGACAAGCTGACATGAACGTGGCTTTGAGAACTACAGACAAGTGTTGACTTGAAATTTAGGAAGGAACAGGTCATTTGGGAAAACGTAAAAACTTAGAAAACTTAAGAAAAATTGTATTTAAGGGAATTTAAATCTGCCAGATCTGAAAGCTACCAGTGGAAAGCAGGCAATCCAGAAATGCATGGTAATGGTCATCCTTAACACACTTCCCTAAGAGAGAATTTTTAAAAGAATTAAGTGGTCATGCATTTCTTATAGTCAGACAAGTAACAATTGTGGATCATTGCAATGGTTAGGCACAGTTCAGCTGTGAACATTCAGCCTGTAAGTGCTCTGTGAAGCCAAGATGTCCATGGCATTCCCCTGCTTGTATTTCCAGGTGCAGCTCCAGGACACTTTCCCATCACTGCTGAGGCCCTCAGGCCCTTTGTTGATGAGAAGGCTGCTGGCAGAGACACACCTGCAGGATCCATGAACGCTTACTAAGGCTGATCAGGCATCACCAGAAGAGCTGGGTGCCTGCACGGCCACAGGACTTCATTGCTGCATGCCTGAATGAGATGTTAAAGGTAACTAGTAATTGTCTCTTAGGCAGCTGCTACATATTACAAATGCTTCTAGTTAAAGTATTTCCAGCAGCACTCCTCCTTCCTCTCCTGCTTTGCTTCCTGAGAGACTGTTGAGCTATTTCCTTCTTTGAATTCAACCTAAAACATAGAGTGATGTTGTTCCACTCTAGACTGAAAGAAAACTTACTGTGTGCTGTCTTCCTCTTCAGCAAGATCATATTTTTTAACAGAACAACAAGGCTGCTGTCTTACCAGCTCCACCAACACAGTATGGAGCCTGTGATGAAAAACAGATCTGTTGCTGGGAATTTGCTGCACCGTTAGAACAGTCTTAATTCTCACTGCCTGTCTCCTACCTGCAGGCAGAGGATGGCACGCTCTCTACATTTGGGGTGCAGTGATCACAGATCTCTTCAGAGCAGGGTCAGACACCACCTTCACTTCATGCTGAGCACTCCATGATGGTGCATCTGGAAGTGCAAGGTGGGAAATGTGTGTAGCTGCACTTAGACGTGGCATGTCCTTGTTCACGGCTCATGTTGATTCAGCTGTCCTGATCCTCCTCTGTAAGGTGGCTTGGGAATTTCGAGTTTCTGCATAGAGTCTGCACATCAATAATTCTTGAATGCTCATTATTAGTCCTTTTTTCAAATTCAGAATGACTCCAAGAGGTGTCACATGCTGTCATTTGTCCATCCTGTGGAATTGAATATAAGGACTGAACAACCCTGCCATTTGCAAGAGTAGTTTTACAAGAGATGGTGTGCTACAGCAGCACAGGGTTTGTGGGGACCCATGACATCACACTGCAAGGCTTCCCTGTCACTGAGGTCTCTTAATGCCACTAAGCTTTGGGTACAACCCTTAGACAAAGCAGAGTCAGGCATCACATCTTGTGCCTACATTTTGACCCAGGCTGCAAAACTACCCAAAGGTGGGTTTGAACAGCCCATGAGGAACTCTTCACTGGGAATAGGATGCTGGATGTTATCTACATGCAATAATATGAACAAATCTGTTCTCAGTTTCCCTGTCTTATTGCAGAGAGGTTACTTTTATCATTTTTCCATATGGGATTTCAAGAGTTAGGTCAGTGTATAAAGGTACCAGTATAACAAACTTTGTCTTTTAAACTGGTACAAGCTAAATATAAAACCCACAGAAATGTCATAAAAACACTGCCTGTAGATACAATTTATTGTATTAGCTGAATACTTTAAATCTGTATCCAACCTGATGTAGGTGGTCTTCCCAATAGATAAGATCCATGTGGCTTTGGGGGAAGCCTCTGAGAAAATCAAGATCCAAGTCAGGGGTTTTGATCAGTGTGAAGCCTTCACTTCAGTGGGGTTTAGTGGTGTTCTTTCTTTTTTAAGTTTGATAACTGTAATTACTGCATCCTCTGGTGCTCTAAAATCAATCTTTAGCAGTGCCTAATAATTTCTAAATAAGCTATTAAGTAGGAGATAACAGAGTGTGACCGTGTTTCTCACCCCATAATAATTATTTGGCATTTGCATTGGGCAACTTCAAGAGAGTGATTGATATCCTGGCAATTTAAGTCATTAGTTTTTGACTCTATGTAAAGGATCTTTGTATGAGCAGGTCTCCATAGTCATTTGTGTAACACGCTCTTTCTGAAATATTTTGGTAAACTTCTGATCTTCAGAGCACACAGATCCCATTTAGGGATCCTGTTTGTTACCAACCAGGAAATTCTTTATGAGTTTTTGAACTATTTCTGCTACTATTTATTTCTAAATAATCTTCCATGTCTTCTAAGGTTATGAACACAGGTTTGAGCCCATAAGGCAACAGGATGGGAGGGCCAGTGGTAAGGATATTTAGCCTAGGACTTGGGGGGCCCCTTTCCCTGTTCTGCCACACTCCTGGGATCTCAGGGATATTGCTGAGACACCCATTGCTTTTGCTTTCCAATAGTAAGGTGGGAATACCTGTGATACCTTGCTGTGCTTTACAAGGATGAATACACTCACACTATAGGTCAGAGGATATGTAGTGCTTTATAAATGCTGAGTACCATTCTTCCATGTTCCTGATCGACAGACTGATGAGAGATATTAGTTATTTAGCATAAATAAGTTTTAAGTAGGCTGAGTTACACCAAGTTATAATATTGTGGATTTAATATGCAGTTTTTGCTTTGCTTCCTTAGCATGAATACCTGGATTACTTAGGCAATGATTTTTTTTTTTACTCTTTCTACATCACAAATTGATAGAGAAACAGAAACTACGGCACTCAGAACTCTATTTACTAACTCTGTCAGACAGCAGAAATCACTGGTCAGAGATTTGCAAAGCACTCTGGAAAGACTCTGTGCTCATGGAGTAATGTGGGAACAGATCCATGAAGTGCAAGGAGATGCTGAAGGAGGAACTATCGCCCTTATCCTCTGTGAAGTGTCCATGATCACTTCAGGAGCTTGCAGGCTCTTTACTGGGACATTTTTCCCGTTTTCTGTGCAATCCCTCACTGTGAAAGAAATAATTTGTCTACACATAACAGGTCCGCTGTCGCCACAGGAAGCAAGGTGGGAAAACCCTTTGAAGAGCAACTGTCTGCGTTCTCAAACTGTATTTACCAGAGCAAAATTAATTGTGTGAATAATTTGTAACTCTCTGGCCCGCTCGCCGGCGCCAGCCACGCCACACCCAAGATGGCGGCGCTGCCCTGAGGGGCGCTCCCGGCCGCGCGCTCCCTTCCCCGCCCGCCGTGCGCGGTGTCACGGCTCCGGGGGGAAACGCGGGAGGTGATGGCGGAGCCTCCGGAAGCGGCGGAAGAGTTTCGCGGTCGGACTCAGCAGGGCGGAAGTCGCTGAGGCGAACGGGGGTGGCGGCGGCAGCGAGCGACGATGAACAACAAATTCGACGCGTGAGTGTCACCCCCGAGCCCCCCCGGCCGGCCCCCGGTGCGGGGCCTGCACGGCCCCGAGCCCCGCCGGCGCCTCCCGCCGCTGCCCCGGCGCCGGGCGGGCGAGACGCGATGAGTCACGGGGCTGCGCACAGCCCCGTCCGTGCAGCCGGGGCCCGGCCTGGCCCCGAGGGGACGCGGGACCCAGAGGTGTGGGCGGTGGGCCGGTGCCAGGCCCGCACCGGGGAGGCTCCGGCCGCCTCGTAGCGCCGCTTGTCTCTCGCCTTTTCCGGCCCTTGGCAGGGAGGGGGGCGGGCGGAGATTCCTGTGGGGCGCTGGGTGCTGGCGCGGTGTCTGCTCGCCACAGGCGCTGCCTCTGCACTGCTGGGGGGCGTGGGGAGCGGCGTGGGCAAGAGTCAGCAGAGGTAGGGTCACAGGTGTCCGTGTGGGCCCCCTGAATAGCAGGGAGCCCTAACACGCAACTGGGGTTTCCTGTGGCAGATCAGTATCCAGCACTAACTGCTTGAGTTTTTTCCAAAAAGCTGTTTTGTTGTTCACTTCGGCTTAAAAGATGCCTGTGATGGGCATGAAAGTAGAAGTAGTTTTTACTGTGTGGGTTGTCAAGTGTAGATATCCAAACTGTGGTGGCCCTTGTACCATGGAGGGGCTTTGGAGCAGAGAGCTACCTGGGCTTGGTATGAACCTTCTCAGCTGTGTGATGGCTCTCTTTGTTATTTTTCTTTACCAGATTGAAAGATGATGATAGTGGAGACCATGACCAGAATGAGGAAAATAACACACAGAAAGACAGTGAGAAGGAAAAGAATGATCGTGAGAAACCACAGAGTACTACCAAGAGGAAGGTATGGTGCTGGCATCTGCACTCCTCTGCCAGGGCATGGTGTGGCACTGCTGGGGAGTCAATCCTCAGTTCAGGGATAAGGAAAATAAGCCTTGGAGGGCTGTGGTCTCAGTGCATTGTTTCTGCTGCAGTGAAGACAGAGGGACTATGTTTGAGTTCCGTAATTTGATGTCACTTTTGGAGGCCTCTCATCTGAGGGGTGAATGCTCCCTTCACCAGCATAGCTGGTGCCCTGCTAGGCTTTTCAATGGAAATGAGAAAAAAAGCTTTATTTTAATCCAGATCAAATTTGGAAGAGGACTTGGGGACAGGACTCCTCTCTGGCAGGACAGTAGTGGCTTGAAGGTGGTTTAGCAGGCAGTGTTTGTGACACTGTTGAAATAACTTTTAACATGTGTCCCTGTGGGTAGTGTAGCCTGGTCAAGAAGGCATAAGGCATATATCTCCCCTGGTTTGGTTTTTTTCCATCTTGTTTAGGAAAACTGCTCTGCCTGAAGTAATCCAACCCTTGTAAACTTGCCATTGTCAGGAGGAGAGTAGAGATTTAAGCCCTGGTAACTCCTGTAACAATATCATGTAGTACGAGATAAGGGCTTTGATTGGGATTTTCTCTGTAAATTTTGACTCCTGGTTAGTGAGCTCTCATTAGCCTCTTTTGTGCTCATTAGAAGTATTTTTAATTAGAAATCAGTGTTTTGGAAATTGCAAAGTGATCACTGCCCACTGCTGGTGATGAGTTCTGCCAAAGCTGACATAACAAGTTCTTAGATTAATCTTCTCAGAGCACTGGGGTGTTGGTTGCTTAAGGCAGTTGGTGTCACCAAAGAGTTTTAATTGCATTTGAATCATGATTCATTATAAATGGGGTTTATCCTTCCCAGAGGATGAACGTGTCTTTTTTTTAGCTTAATTTGAAAAAGTTAAAAGTCTCACATTTCCCTTTTTAGTTTGTCTTTTTTTTTTTTTTTGATTCGAGACAGGCACAGACTAAAAAGAATTCAGTCATGATGTCTTGAATGGTTGCTTTTATATGCTGTAAATGCAGTTTTTCCCACTCCCCTTTTTAGAGGAGCACAGGAGGGGTAAACAGGCTTTTGTGTTGTGCAGGCTGTGGTGCCGGGGCCAGCTGAGCACCCCTTGCAGTACAACTACACCTTCTGGTACTCGCGACGCACGCCCGGGCGGCCCACCAGCTCCCAGAGCTACGAGCAGAACATCAAACAGATCGGCACCTTTGCCTCCGTGAGTACCCCTGTGTCCCCTGTCACTGACTGCCTGCTCCTCCTGCCCTGCTCCCTGCCTGCTGCCTCTGTCCTGCTGGCACTGAGCCATTTGCCAAGGCAGACGAGCTCTTGAAGTTCAGCAGGAGATGTGTGTTTAGCACTTTGTCCTGTGCTAGACTTCTGTGCATGGTAGTAGTTGGTATAATAACAGAGAAAAAAAAAAAAGAGCAGCCTTGTAGTTAATTTATGGCTGCAGCAAGAGAAGAAAGGAACAGCTTTTCTGTTCCATTTCTGTGTTGTCCCTCACACACTTCCCTCCACCCACATTGCCAGCACAAAGACTGTGTTTGGAATAAGCATCTGGCATTATGTATTTGCCAACAGCTGGTGGCCTGTTGTCTGTCTCTAAGTGATGGACAAGGTGCAGTTTGATGTTGCAGTCAAGCTCATTGAAAGGCAAATTGCTCTTCCTTTCTCCTTCCACTCTGTGGTTGCTTGTTCCTGGAATAAACTTGAGCATGTCCTGGGCAGGCTGTGTTGGGTTTTTGCATGGTGCTGGCAGAGTAAACCTGCCCTCAAGAGCCCAGGATGTGTAAGCAGAATGTGTCCTCATGTCTGTTCTAGAGCCCAGGAAGTCTGTTGGCTGTTTTCTTCCTTTTCTTCTAAGTCTTGTGTTTGCCCAGTTTTTTCAGGGTCTCTTATAAATGTTAATTCTGCCCACCAGTACATATGCTCTGTAATATGATAATTTATAAAAACAGCTCTTTTTTCCTTCTGGAGGCTGCCTAAAAGTATGTGTGTCTGAGCGGCTGGGTTGTGTTACTGTATCCACATAGGATAAGGGTGGGAAGAAGAGCCCATTGTTGTGGGTAGTTACTGCTCCTTTTAGTCTCTGTGAGCAAGTACTTTCAGTTCAGGGGATGAAAAATATGGCTGCTGCTTGATGTTCTGGCAATAACTTTCAGTCTGATAAATCAGTGTAGACTTAGCATTGATTTTTAGCTCCTTAGAGGAAAATCATGTTGTTGAATATTCTGTTGTCTGCTCTTTGCTACAGAGAATTTGTTGGGAACATGGTTGGCTGCAGTTCTCTTAGGATGGAGAGAGACTAGCCAGCGTATTTGATAATGTGTTTGGATCCAAATTCTGTTTAAGGAGATGGAAGAGCAAACTTCATAAAGAATTGTCTAGCTGAGTCTGTGTTCAGATTTATTCTTGGCTTTTCAGTGGAAAGCTGTAAAAGCTGTGAAATGTGAACCACTAGAGGGCACGTTCCTTCACTGTGGGAGTGTGGTTTGCCCACGGATGTTTGGACGTGCCTGACAAAAATAGATTGTTTCTGACCCCTCCTCAGTCTTGGTTCATAATTTTATTGGCTTGGATGCAAATTCCAGCTTGGATGGCAGAGGTCAGAGATTGGAGTGGAATTCCAAGTGCTGACCAAGTCATTAAGGTCTCTGATAAAGTGCTTGGGGTGATGTCTGCCCCCTCCAGCTGCACTGCTGGTCTGCTTAATAGCTATTGTCTTACTGAGCAGAGCCTTCTTAAAATATGGAAATTAGTATAACCTCTTCCACTGCCATGTTTAGTTTTAAAGATCCATCCTCTCTTAAATCCTTTCTTACCCAGTGATTCTCAAAAGATAAATATACTGCTTTTAAGAACTATACAAAATAAATCCCTTGCCTTACGGTCAGATTGTCTCAAGCAGACACAGGGGTGCCAGAATGGAATTGGTTGAAGTGAAGTGGTCCAAGTGTACCATGGCAACCTGTAAAAGGAAGTAAGAGATATTTAAATAAAAACTCTGAATAGTGCCTTTTGATCTTAAACTAGCACCACAATGTATATTTTGTCTTGAGATCTGCATACAGTAAAATTAAATACAAAAAAAAAAAAAAAAAAAAAAAAGTCTTATTTGAAGGCTTCTGCAGTTTCCATGGTCACAGAGAGCAGTGGTTATGCAAGAGGCTTGGCTGTAGCTGATGCCTTTGACACATACCCAGTGATTGAAAGTTTGGGCAGTATGAGTTAAAAGATATGTTTGGAACTGTTCTCCAAAGCAGCTGTTACCTTAGCACAGATTTCTTCAGACAAACACTGACTTTAGAGGCACCCATTGAATGTTTCAGGTGGTCACCTGGTAACAGAGCCAGTCAGAAACAGGCACCCAGGCTCTGAACTACTGTTGCCTTTTGTGTTGCCTAATCAACACCCTGGTGACAGGGAGTAGAGCAGAAGAGGAATAGGTGGCTCTGGAGGGCTGGTGTAAAAATGGCAGCCTTTTTCTATAGAAATCTTGACTGTGAACAGTTTGAGCAGGCTCACTGTGTGGTTGGTGTTGTTGCAGGTGGAACAGTTCTGGCGGTTTTACAGTCACATGGTACGTCCTGGGGACCTGACAGGCCACAGTGACTTCCATCTTTTCAAAGAGGGCATCAAACCCATGTGGGAGGTGAGTTGGAGCTCTCATTTCTGCCTTGATATTTTCCCACAATATTTTGGAGGAAACCTTCTACAGTAGAGAGATTCTTGTATTTTTTTTGAGTGAAATCCTTTTGTCTGGGTTTCCTGTCAACTTGTCCTCAGAACTCTGTCCATGTAACCTAACAGTCCTGCTGCCAGAGAGGGAAGATGGGGAAGTTGCTGGCTGCACCCTCACAAAGCTTGCTGAACTGCCATTGCCAATGGAGGGGGTACCCCATAGCTGCCTCCAGTGACAGCAGTGCAGGGCTTTCCTCTGGAAGGACTGAACCTCTCCAACAAAGCTTATAAAAAGTAACCCTCCCTTTTCAGTCAAGGAGGTGCATATGGTTGAAAACCTGCACACAGAGCTGGAGATGGAGAAACAACTTTGCCTTTTATTTACTATTTCCTTTTTTTGGTTGTTTTGGTTTTGTTTTGTTGTTGTTTTGGTTTAGTTTTGTTCCAGGGCACTTTAGTTTGCTTCTATTTCTATCCAAATCTGTTAAAAGAAATTTTAAACGAATCTTTGCCCAGCAAATCATTCTCTCAATTCCTGGCCTGCTTCCAGCAATGACCAATAGCATTCACAATATGAGGATTTTATGTGTTTCCCTGAAGTATGTAATTATACTGCTTGGTCTTGAGAAATTTATATGTGACCCTCATTAGCAATTATTTTAAGCAAGCTATTTTATAGCCAGTTACTGCAAATACTATTTATATAAAATGTTTAACCCTCTTTGCACTCCTGGTGAGCAAGTTCCTCAGACAATGTGTCGACCAGAGAGTCTCCAAGTTAATGATGCCAGAATTTCTATAAAGCATTTCCCAGTAGACATTTTAAGATGGAGGTGGAGAGATTCTTTAGTATTTTTACTTCTGGCCCTACTTCCTTCTTACATTTCTAGAAGAGGACCTGAGATCTCACTTCTGACCTTCCATTGCTGCATGCTTTGTAGGGCTTTATTTACACTTCTTTCTCTTCCAAACCGATCCTCAGTTACTGTGATTCTCATAGGTACATATGTGCCTGTGTGTAGCTCTGATCTTTTTCTGCATCCATCTGTGCCTTTTCTGGTAAAGTCAGAAGCACTAAGCATAATAATCCCTGGTGATTTACTGGGCTGCAGATCATTATTATTCTGGTGAAGGAAAATCAAATGCTTGACTGAACCGAAGCTTGTTTAACCTGAAAGAAAACTAACAACCATAAAGCACATGATACAGCATCTGCCTCCCAATCACTGCTCTCTCTCTAGCTTTGAACCTGCTTAAGTCACCTTTGAGATATTTTTAGCGATATCACTCTCTTCTGATGCCCGTTAGTCATTGTGGACACTTTGAAGAGTTAAACCCAGCTCCCAGTCTAAAGGCTGTGATGTTCACAACTTGGAAAACAAGGGTACTTAACAGAAAGCAGTTTGCTTCTCACAGGATTCTGCCACATTCCTAGAACTTATGTTGATTTGGATGGCTCCTGTCAGGCTTTGAGGTTTGTCTGGAGCTGACACCTTCCCCTTTCAGTCCAGCACATACCTGAAAAGTAGGAGTCAGGTGAATGCTGCTGTTACACTGACACTTCCATGTTTCCTCAGGATTGCATTGTTAGCACTTGCTGCCTCTGAGAGAGCAGACAAATGTTTTGTTTTATCTGAGCCCTAGAGAAGCTTTAAGGCTAAAATAAAATTAACTTTATTTCATTAAGGAGGGTTGGGCTGCCTTGCCTGGCATCTTCAAGGTGTGTCCCAGCTTGGCAGAGGGGATTGCTGGGGATTTGGAGAGGGATGTCCTGTTTTGTGCAGTCCCCTCTGAGTCATTCTTTGTTCTCTGTTTCTGTCCTAGACCTGTCTTTCCTTACCCTTCCTATCTGCCACCTCTCTGACTTGTTCCTACCTCTCTGTCTTCAGCTTTGGATGGAATTTGTTCCACTCTCACCTTGTAAGATTTCCCAGCTACAGTGTTGTACCAGAGAATGCCACAGTGTTCTGCACAGAGGAGAAGCTGCTCTTTGACATAGCTGTGCATTCTGGGGAGCAGGGGAGGCTGTAGCAATTTCCAACTCTTTGTCAGCTTCAAGATACAGAATCACAATATTGAGGTGACAGAGTGGGTGCTTAGCATTAAATTTTTCTTTTACTTTCCCCTCATTTTGGTTATTTCCCTGGGTCACCACAGTCTGGAGCAAACATTCAGCTGTGTGATGTGTGATAATGTCAGAGAACAGGGTAGTCCTTTCTCTGTTAGCACAACTTGTGAGCCCATTCCTGGAAATGTGGAAGGAAAATATTTATCAATTTTTTGCTTGCTTTTAAAATACTGTTTTGCAAACTCTTTACTGGCTTTCCATGCTCAGTGATGAGGGGGTTCTCCTGTTTTACAGGGGTCTTGTTTTACAGGCAGAACTACGTAGACAGGGGATTAGACAAATGGTGACTCTGTCTCAAGTTTAGGAGTAGTTGCATCTGGGTGTGTTTGTACAGATTGGTAGGCTGGTGTTAGTCCTTGCTAGTGGAATCAAAACACTAGAACTCCAGTCATCAGAGCATAGTACTTGGTCTGGAAGGCTGAGGGCCATTGTTTCAAGTACTTTGTATTTAAAGTGGTTTTCCTCTGTCTCTGCTTATACGGGGGAGAAGTGAAATAAAATACTTTTGCTTGAAAATACCTTCCTTGCCCCACGTAATCAATATCTGCTTGTGTTCGTGGCTCTGCTGTCTTGTGGGTAGCAGAAAAATAGCTAGGAGAAAACAAATCAATTTATTTCCACTCTTCCTAGGACGATGCCAACAAAAATGGTGGTAAATGGATTATCCGTCTGCGGAAGGGCTTAGCATCACGGTGCTGGGAGAATCTTATTCTGGCCATGTTGGGAGAGCAGTTCATGGTGGGGGAAGAAATCTGTGGGGCTGTCGTCTCTGTCCGATTCCAGGTGAGTGCTTTTGAGAACTGGCACGTGCTTCCATCTGGCAGGGCTGCAAAAAGTGCCCTGTGCTGACCCCTCCCTGCCGTGCCGTTCCGCAGGAGGACATCATCTCCATATGGAACAAGACAGCCAGCGACCAGGCCACGACAGCCCGGATACGCGACACGTTACGAAGAGTGCTCAACCTACCTCCCAACACCATCATGGAATATAAAACCCACACCGACAGCATCAAGTACGTGTGCTGGCCAGGGGGGTGCTGCAGGTTGCATGTGTGCTCGAGCAGCTCGGTGCATGGCACGGGCGTTGGCACAAGTGCTCGTGTGCGTTAGGGCTGTTCCTGCAAACTGAAGTGCAAACAGCAGCGGTTGTTGCCAGCGCGCTTTGAAAGCCAAATTCCTGTGTTGTTGCCGTGGGTGTTTGGTTCTGTGAGCAAAACCTTTTTCTTTTTTAAATGTGTGATCCAGGGTTATTTTAACAATCCACCCAGCCTGTCACTCGGGTGATGGGCAGCCCAGGGTGGGACTGTGGCTTGATGTATTCAAAGACAAGATTGCAGTGGGGGGAGTCGAATAATTTGAATAAATAGAGATTCTGGAGAATAAAGTGCGGAAGCTAACAGGGATTTATAGTGCCATTAGACTTATAAATGGTCTTGGGAAAGTGCTGTGTGAATTTACAGTGCTGTACAAATGATTTCTAATCATAATAAACGTCATATATTAAGTCTTCCAGGCCCTGGTGACAGAGGCTCTTTAACAAGACTAGAAGATCATGGTACACAGAGAGCACAGCTGTATTTTTAAATAAATGCATTATAGCTTACCATATCAGGCCATTCAGGGTGACTTTTATTTCCTACAAAGTGACGAAAAATTGCATATATAGGTATTAGTTAGAGGTGAGTAATATGTTGTTTTTCTTTTTTTCTTAAGTGTATTATAAACTAATAAGTCATAACTGATTAAACTATAAACTGATTGGGTTGTATTGGTTAAATTAATACTTGAAAATGTGCATTTGGAAAAAGAAGTGAAACGAATAAGACACTGATGTGGCAGAGAGCTTTCTAATCTTGCTTGTAATGAAGGTGCAAGTATCTTTCATGACTTTCTTTCATCATGCTGGCTTGTTCCACATAATCATGTTGTCATCAGTCTGCTGTCAGACAGTTTGATGGGATCCATCCTCGTTTTAGCAGACAGCTGGCTTCCAGTTTTGAGTGTGGGTCACTAGTAATTATACAGAAATCTTGTTGAAACTGCCTGTAGGCATTTAGTGTTCCATGTGGCCCTCCCTCCTATGTGTGTGGGAAAGAGAAGGGAAAGAGATAATTTTTTCCGTGATTTTGTTGCTAACGTTTGTCCTGCACTTTTTGCCAGGAGAGGGCACTATGGACTCTGTCCATGCCGGGAAATAGCAGTGTGCTCATGTGGACACGCAGCAGAGTATTTTACTCCTGTTCAGCAGCAGCAGACTGCGGACTGTGATGTTGCGGCTTTGTGGTGAGAGCAGGGAGGTGTTTGACTTTTCTCAGTCTCTGTAGTAAAAGCTGTGTGTGGAGCCAGCTGTCCTAAGCTGTGCTGGTGGTTCATGTAGCAAATGCAGAATGGGAATGCTGTGACCTTTCCCTTGTGAGCTATCACCACCAGCACTTCCTAGCACAGAGAATGCTGCTATAGCAGTGTTTGTTTTTGCTCTGGCCAGGTGTAAGACCTTGAGTGATGGTGCATCCAGTAGTGTGGTCTCATTTCCCTGCACCAGTGTAACATGCTGTGCTTGCTGCCCTCTCTTCCTGCATAGCATCCGAGTTTCATGTTGTGCTGCTGACGTGTGGTGCAAAATGAGCTTGTCTGAGAATAACAGGTGTTGGAGGTATCAAGTTCAGTAGCTCATATTACAGCTGGGAGCAATTCTTAAATAGAGGCCGACTGGCTTGTCTCCCACTCATTCTTCTGTGGGTAGGAGGGTTTGTCAGGAATTGCTTTGATGATGTCCCAGTCAGGTAGGTCTAAGCAATTAACCTTCTGCCATGTAGGGCATCATGAAAGCCCCTTTTTTCCCATTGCCTAGCTTAAGCTAGCTTAAGCAGCAGTCTGATTGCAATGCTCTCCAGCATCTCCTTCCAAAGGCACAGGTGTAAATTCAGAGCAGAACTGCTGTCAGTGGAGTTTCTGTGTAGTGATGCACAGACCAACTTCTTGTGCCTCACTTGCCTGGTACCAGCAGGCAGCAAGGGGCAGCAGCTGCAGAGAAGTGATGTGACTGCTTTGTGACAGTGAAGAGCAGGACAGCCCAGCTTTCAGTCTGACTCTGCTTGGATAAGCTTCGTATCATTAGGGTTCTCTCACTAATAAAGAATCTCTTGTGTAACTAGTTCTATCCTCCATGAAGTCTGGCTCCTTTTCCTCACCCATCTATCAAGTCCTGTTGAAATACTGTCCATCATGAATAAACTCCACTTATGCTGCACATGTACCATGTGATTTATGACTGGGGAGGGCTTTCTAGCCAGCACTCTATATTCACACTCTGGCTGTGTTACATGAAAAGCTCTAATGGAAGGGCTGTGCTCTAGGCTTTGTCAGGGCTGCCTTTTGAGGGGGGCTCATGGCATTTTTCATTTGTATGGGCTGCATCTCTCCACTAGAGCTCTGCTCATGTGCGGGGTTTGATTGGCATTGATTGTGCTTCAGGGAAGGGAGCATGCTTAGCAAGAAAAGAACAGGCATTTCTCAAAACCTTGACTTTTAGGTAGTGAATTGACCTGGATTAGCTTTTGACACACTGTAAATGAATGCTTCTGCAGAAATTGCTAGCATGCCTCTCACTGTAGAACCTGAGCTCTGTGCTTCAGGTTTTGTATATTCTTTTTGTGAGGATGCACTTCATATTAAATCATTTCTAGACACCATTTTTTATGAGTTGTCAGTGAGGCTGCAGCCCCCTTTGTTTCAGAAAGTGGTGGTGCTGCCAAGCTGCATCTGAAAAGTACCTGTTGCGTCACAGCTATTCCAGGGAGCTGTTCTGCATTCTGTCCTTCCTGCTCTCAGTGGTGGGGCTTGTGCATTTAGCTAGATAAGCAGATCTGTCATTGCAATTTTCCTGTGTTTGTCCTTTCTCTTGCTTGTGATATTGACAAGCTGCCTAAATCCCAGCGAGTAGAAGGGTCAGCCTAGTCTGTATGAATTTCCAATCTTGCTAAGAAAGCTGGAACAATCTCTTGGACTCTGCTAAATTGCAGGGGATTTATAGTACCTTAGACATTACAGTGCTGAGCACCTGAAGAGAACATATGTGACATTTTGTGGGCTACCTTGTTTCAGTAGCTGGAGAGAAATTGCTTCTCTTTGTTCCCTCAGAAGTGCACTGAGAGAGGAGCGCTCAGATGCAGTGAACCACTTAATAGGTTCAGTTCATCAGTGTTGTTAACCTTGGAGGTGACAAGGTCCAGAAGTGACAGTGACTTACGGACAGTGGTACTTCCTGTGGCTTGGAATTAAAGGCAAAATACCCAACCTCTTTTGCTGCCGTAGCAGGTGCACTTTTTTGAAAGCAGAATGTTGCCAACCACAGCCTGGTCGTGTCTCAGCAAAGCCACTGAAAATATTCAGGTATCTGCAGTTGGGAGAGGGGTGGAGGGGAAGTGATCACGTTCACATTTGACTTTAAGCAGCATGAAGTTCGTGGCTGCCTTGCCCAGCCTGGGCTTATCAGCCTTTCTTTTCCTCACTGATAACTGTGTGGTCAGTGACCATCTCCTTTCTTGAGAGCTCTCACCCACCATACTGTCCAGGAATCCCAGGCAAATTCAGCAACACTGCTTCCAGTGCCAGGAGAGACCAGAGCAGTGGCCATCAGCAGGTTGCCACTGAGCAGGCTGCTGTGGAAATGTTTTGGTTGCTGTGTGACATTACAGATTGTCCTGTCAGCTCTAAAGCAAGGCTGCTTTTTCTGGAAACAAAGCTTTGCTTATTCCTAAGTGCCTGCTGCAGTGAGAGCTGAGCAGGGTATAAAACTAGCCTTTCCTTTCAAAGTCACCAGTGATAACTAATGGGATGGCTTGAGTAAATTAGAAGAATAGTTGATCTTAATAGAGCTGGCACTGGGTTCATTTCACTGCAGGCAGTTGGAGGAAATGGCCTCAGACTATACTGTAGGTAGGAAACAAGAGGATATCCTACGGAGGGAAAAGTGCACTATAAGAAGACTGCAGGGGTGAGGTTCTCAGGACGAAAAGAGAGGAATGGCAAAAAAGTGAGGAATTAAGAAGAGAAATCACTGTGGAAGTGACAGGTGTTGCACAAGATCAGTGTTTCTGAGACTAGTAAGCTGCTGGTGGGGTGCTTGTGAGGTTTCCCTTGTCAGAGCAGAGTTCAGCTAATCCTGTAACTGTTGTGGCTTTAAAGCACTGGTTTCCCTTTGTTTGCTAATTTCCAAAACCTTAGGAGAACTCCTCAGTGCTGCTGTTCTACTTGTGTCACCTCTGCCTTTGACTTTGTCTTAAATGAGTGGGCAGGGTTAACTTTGCCTGAAGGAAACGATTTGCAGAGGGGACCCTCACGCATTGTCTGATGCCTGTCAGGGGAAGGCAGGGTGCCTTGGGTCTTGCCAGCTCTAGAGCTGCACTGTTTCACCCTCATCCATTCAAGTCTGAGAGCAGGAATAAAATGTAGAGGAGAGCAGTGAGGTTCTAGATCTGATAGCTGTCCTCTTCTGAGTCTCTGCAATACTGGCTTCATTCATTTATCACTCCATTCTCCAGCTCCAGTAATGTTTCCAAGTCTAAGAGCACTTGCATAGACTTGGTCTTTGACTTGATGGATTCAGTGATTGATTCTCCATCAACATAATATGCTTTACTCAGAAGTGTCCATGACTTTGTGAAAGTCCTCCTTATCTTGGTGGCCTGTCTCTTACCAAAAAAGTGCCTATAACCTATTTATTTCATGGTTGTTTTTTTTCAAGGAGGTCAATTCAGTTGTGTTTATTTAATTGTTTTATATTGCCTTTGCTCCAGGTACTGCCAGACAGGTGGAAGAATTATTTCAGGCTAGAAGACTACCCTAGATTTATTTTTTTTTCAAGCTGTTAGTCACAAAGTTCTTGTCTGGCTGTGAACAAATCCCAGGGGGATCACCCAGAAAGAGGTTGTGCTGCTCTGGACACCTGCAGAGTGTAGTGAGTGGTCAGTGTGCTGGGAGGTTCCACATGGGCTGGCAAAAGTGACAGACCTTGGTGCCCTTTGTAAGGTGTCATAAGTGCACTCTGAGCTCTCTGAATCCTTTTTAGCTGGGGAAGGAGAAGTTAAGGAGCAGGGTTGCGCAGAAAAATACTGAAGGCAAACTTCTGGGACTTAATTGAAGATGTTTGCAGAAAACAGCTAGTGGTGCTTGCACAATAGTGATTTGGAAAGCCCCTTGAAGCAACTAAGACTACCCTTCCTCTTTTTGATGGAGTCTTCCTCTTTTTCTTTTTTTCTCTTTGGGGAGATAGTGGCTTCTTTTCTCTTTTTTTTTTTTTTCTTCCAATTTACTTCCTGGGACTAAGGGAGCTCTGTCTGGGTTCTGACCCTGGGCAGTGGGGAGGAAGGTGGGAAGTTTCAACAGCTATGGGTCAAGAATGAGTGTGGAAGAGCAGCTCTGGCTGGCTTTGTTTAGCCTGCTAATGTTTCCATTTCCCATCTGTTCAGTGGGAATAATCTAAGTGTTGGGGATCAATTCACTGAGTATCTGATCGCTGTGCAGACAGTATGGCAATAAGGTACTAAAAATGTCTATACATAAAAATAACCTCTTAGACTCTCTGGCACTGTGCCTTTGGCATGTCACAGGTCATAAAGATTCTGCCAGATGAAATTAACTGGCAGCCTTGTTCAGTATGGAATGAGAGCAGTTTGCTCTCCTAGCGTAGTTTAGGTACATTAGGGCAGACATACCCTGGTGGATTTTTTCAGTCAAGTCAGCAGATAGCTGGAGTCATTAGTACTATAATACATATGAGGGTCTTGAATTAAAAATTCTTGGCTGGAAGAGCTTTTTCTCTCTGTGAGGACAGAGATGAAGGACTGTGCATGATGTTATTTGAATGTTGGAACAAGGAACTCCTTAGTGTGAAAGGGGTAATAAATTATCGATCATGTTGACAAGTAATCTGTCCTTGTATTCCTTCTGCTGAGAAGTTACAAGTTTGGGAGAACTATGGGAGAGGAAAGAGAGATGTGATTGTGGGTGATGGGAATGTGGTAGAGATACAAGGGAGGTTGGAGGGAAGACATGAATGAAGGTGGAGACTCTTTGACAAGTCTGGAAATGTGCCAAGATTACCAGCAACTAAGAGGGTTTCAGATTCAGAGTTTCTCTTCTCCCTAACTTTCTTCTGGAGTGAGGCTGTTGAACCCCAAGGTCTTTGTGTTTATTTGGGCTATGACTTGCTGGGAAAGAGCATGTGACACCTGGGCTGCGTTTGCAAATGCCATTTGGGAGCTTGACTCCAAGGCTCAGATAAGAGTCAGGTTGGTGGTCTGGTTTTGGCACAGGTGCTGACTACTCCAGGGCTTCCATTTCTGGACTCTCCTATTGTGTTGCAGTGGCCTGATGAGGCAACGCACAAAACAAAATGTGAAGTAGCTGAGAAGTACCAGCAAAAAATCTAGAGGGTGGTCTGAGTTTATGATTGACCTGGGTTCTCTTTAAGGTCCCTTCAGCTCCATGGGACTCTGTGGCTTCAGAAAATGGCTTGGCATGTGCTGTAGGCACCAGCACTGTTTTGCTGGGCAAAGAGAACTATGAGGTTCTTTGATGTCTCTGATCCTAGAAGATAATAGCCATGCTCACATTAACCTCAGCATGTTTTCCCTGAGATGGTTTCAGTATGCTGCCTTCATAAAACCGACAGCAATTTTTCAGTCTGCTGCCTTCATCCGTCAGTAACGTTCTCCACCAGGGAATGCGGTGTTGGACCTGTCCCTCTAACTTATCTAAAAACATTTTCATTTCAAATAGTTGTGATGTTTTTACTGGGTCGTCATTAACAACGCAGGTTTACAATGGGAAATGGGACTTCCTAATAACAATTGGATTCTGCTGCCTGATCAAAGAATTTCATGCGAACTAAGCTGTGTGGCATTGAAAGAAGCCCCTTTTGGGGGGATTACCTGCATATGCACTATGTGGCAAAGCATGAGGCCAGTAACTGGCTGAGTTTAACCAGCCAAGGAATGTGATAATCCTCCAGAAAGACGTAACATGGGCTATTTTATGAGCAATAGGAAATGGATATTCCATTTGTGACTAGGAAGGTCATACCTGTCTCTGGGTATTAATGTGGCTTTATCACCAGCAGCCAGTAGGAACACTTCATGTCTGTGCAGAACGCTAAAGCTGCCTTGTGCTGTCAGATGTTTGGCTGGATTTTAAGGATGCTTCTATCCACTAGGGCTATCAGAGAATATTGCCTTGCTCTCTGAAGACAAGTGCCTTTTAAACGTTATTGAATGTTTCTGCTCTCGTTAAAAGTTAAGAAGCCTTTGATCTGAAGTGCTATTTTTTGGTTTTATTTCATTTTTTTTTCCCTCTGGCTTGCCAGGGCCTGGGAGGAGTTTCATGGCCTGGTGAACAGCAGTGGCCGCTGATCGAACGCTCCCCCTCCCTCTGTCACACCCAGGGTAGGGCCTCATCTTTCTTCCTATGTGACTTCATGGCATACCTCTCAGCTTCCAACCTTCCCATGGGCTGGCATGTTCTCTTGTCTTATGGGCCTGATGGTGGGCCCATTCTGCTATTTGTTCTTTTCCAAAGGTCAAAATTACTTTTAAATTTTTTTTTTTTGACCAGACACCAGCATTTTCTGTTGAGGTGCTGTGTGCTATTTTGCTAATGTGTCCTTCTGTATGAGGCACTTGTATCCCAGACCTGGTCCCAGGAGGCTGAGAGGTATGTCTTCAGCTTGGGTGTGTTGCCTAGGGTTAACTGTAAGCAGGTATGGAGTGGTAAATGAATCCTAAGCACATCCAGAGGGTGGACACTGAGAGAGGCACCTGGGGCCTGACACACAGCTCTTGAACAGTGGGCTGAAGCAGAATAAATTAATTGGTCAATAAAAGCTTGTTCAAGAAGGACACCCAGTAGCTACTGGTAGAAATAATAATGTTGTGGCTAATGAGACAACCACTCTCTACTGCTGGTAGAGTCAGCCAAGATGTGCAGAGAAGATAGCCAAGGTGAGCCCAGGGCTGCTGGGAGCTCCACAGCTCAGATTGTTTTTCCCTGCGGTGCCCACTTCCCTGACAGCAGGCCCTTAAGAAGGGCCAGCAAGAGACCTGGCCATGAGAGTTGGGTTGATTGTAGCCAAGTGGGATCACTGGATTGCTGAGTGCCAGAGCAGAGGAATCTACTGGAAGGAAGCCCAGTTCCCATAACTGGGCAGTGGAATGTAGCTGCTCCAACACACCTGAGCTCTGAGGAGCTGCTGGGGGTCCCAAAACCTCCCTCAACTGCACTGGGCAAGCAGTGTTATCATGCCCTTGCTCTGAAGTCATGGGTGAAAATAATACCTCTCTCTCCTCACAGGTTTGGTTTTTGGTGAGGATCAGTGTTTACAAAATACTACACAGGCACTTGGTAGTGTTGTTATTGTTAGATGACATTCACTTGTCCTTCTGGAAGAGGAAACCAGCTCACTTAATGATATACCAGGCTCTGAAGGCAGCAAATGTGCCAAGGGTACAGGAAAACAGTGGCAGAGTTCATTTAGCTCTTGGCTGTATTGGGTGGCCTGTGCTGAGCAGGGATGAGCAGAGGGCTTGGGGCACCCCAATAAAGGCAAAAGGAGGGAAAATATAGGGAAAAAATCTGTCCACTAAAGAGCTGCCTAAAGTGTGCTGTCCTCCTGAGGCAGATGGCACAGGTGAAAGTCCAGTATGGGATAGAAAACCAAACCATTGTTGCAAATTAACCAGAATCCAGTTAATGAATCCTGAATCACATTCCCAAATGGCAACCTAGCCTGCTCTTCTAGCTAGTGCAAAGGTGAACCCCAGTCTTCTGCAGCATTGTTTTTGCTGTCAGGTCATAGCAGAGTAACTTTTTTAACTCTGAAAAGTGATTTTTACTTCCTTCTGTTCTTCCACTTCTCCAGCCCACCTCCTGGAGGTGTTCCAGCCTGTGCTGGTACTGCTGCCATGCAGCTGCTGGCAGCACACGATGACAGCTCACAGGTTTGAGTGGAATTTCACAGTCCTGAACAGCACCTTGCTGCTGAAGTTGCTGCCTTTGCTCTTCAGCTATTTGATGTGGTATGTCCTGGGGCATCCCTAAATGTTTTGGCTTGGACAGCTTACAGCCCTGTCCCTGTTTATGGGAAGAGCTGCCAAACCTATCCTCTCAAAGTAATTGTAATCTCCTTTATTTCAACACACTACTATTAATGTGGGAGTATGCTTTGCCTGTTACTGCTGCTCACAGCCTGGTAGTAAGCAATAACACATTTCTGTAACCTGCCCCATCTTCAGTTGCTGCAGTGCCATGAGACTGTACTGAGGGAGATTGTAGACCAGCACTCCTTCCTTGGTCAATAGCCCCTGAGGCTCATGGCTGTACTCTGAGTGAGTAGAAGCTGCTGAAGAAACTCATCTATTTAAACGTGAGGAAAACACCCTTTTCAGATTAGATACTCTTTTAAGGTAGGAGAGATCAGAGAGCTAAACTTGTTGACAGTATGACTAAATACAAGGGACAGAGGCAGGGGGAGGTTGGTCTGATAGTATATTTGTGTTCCAAGCAGAATCCCCGAGATAAATGTTTGCTAAGGAAGAGACCTTGCAAGTTGTTTAAACAGCAGAATCCATCAGGGAGGTTTCCACATTCTATTATGTGCTTTGCTCACAGGAGATGATGATTTTTTCTTCTCATTGAGTGGGGATGAACCAGGATCTCCCTCTGTTCCAGGGGTTCTGGAGTGACAGCTGACTTGTGTGAGAAGTCTGTAGTTAGGAAGATCTGCATGGGAGATTTAGCAAGTGTTGATTTTGAGTGATGTACTGGGATGGCAACACTGGTAGCTATAGTGGGAAGAATGGGGAGGTGCTGTGATCTGAAGGAATGCACATCTTTAACCACTTTTTTCTTCCCTCTGTTTTCCAGGGATAATTCAAGCTTTCGAAACACAAAAATCACATTGTGAGAACAAGAGTTGGCACTAAACTCCTCTCTCCGTGTTGAAAGCACTGAGAGTGGCCTCCAACCTCTGAAGGGACTCATGGGCCACTCTCGCACTCCTCCCTGGGGGAAGGATCCATCTGAAGCCCTCCAGCAGCGGTGACAATAGAGGCCGATTTTGTCTTACACAAACTTTTTTTTAGCAGTGGGGCGGGAGGCAGCCTTTCAATTAGCGGCGGGCCCTTGGGGCCGCATCTTGCAGCACTTTCCTGTCTTTCTCTACATGGCACGCAGGATCGCTGGGATTCTGCCTCAACATCAGAGCCTTTTGCTGAGGGATACCAGTATTACAAATCTCTCTGCAGCTGGGAGGAGCATCCCAGTTGAGAGTCAGCCCTGTGGTTTTCAAATGCCCCTTTTCAGTTCTGCCAATAAATTATTGGGTCTCTTTGTTTCTTTCAGTCTCTCATTTTTTGGCTTGTCTGAAATTCAGCGGGGTGGTATTTCTCTAGGCTGCTTGCTTTATCTTTGCCTCTTCTTTATACTCCCAGGTTAGTAGTGCCTTGTACCCACCTCTATTTGTTATGGAGAGGGATTTGAGCTTCCCTTAAACCAGGAAAAAGAGATGTTTGGTGTCAGTTGCCTTCACTCTGTCTCGATGTAGAGCCAGCAGCACTGGCTGAATTCAGGGCCAAGCCTGCTTCTGGTGTGCACTGGGGTTTGTAAGCCTCTGGCCACCTGGGAAACTGGGCCCCCAGTGGGTTTAGCAGAAGAGGGCGATGGCCCAGCCTGCTGCTCATAGCTGCGTGACAGCTGTGACCAGAAGAGGGGCTGGGAGTGACCCCCTGTCCTCCGGGGTGAGCCTCAAATGATGGGTTGCTGCCTGGAAAGCCAGCGTGGCTGCAATTTGGATGCCACGGAAACAATAGGAGCTAATTATTTCCTCTGATTCTGCTTGACTACAACACTAATTGTACTCATTAACAGCTCCAGCCTTTTCTCCTTTTCCTTGGGGAATCGCTCAATTGTCTTTCATTTTTAATGGAGCCTTTGCCTTGGGCCCAGGAGGGGAGGCTGTGGCCAGTGCTGGGGCACGTCTCCTGCCCCATGTGCTCTGTGCAGTCCCCCAGAAGAAGGGGCTGCTTGGGCCGATCTGCTCGTGACTGCAGAACCAGCAGCCCGTGTCTGGGACAATTACCAGCCTTGGGGCCTGGGAGACATTCGGCCTCATGACTCCAATTGCAAATTCCCTGTCTTACTATTGAAGTCTAGACTGAAAGCAGCCAAGACTGGCAGAGAAAAGAGTTTAAAATATTCAGTCTTCTGAAAGGTTTGTTTTCTTCGTTGAGAGTGTCAATTCCAGGCTGTCTCTAGGGACGTTCCTTGCACTGACAGCAATGACTGAGTGCTCCCCATGGTCAGGCAGTTAGCATGTGACTGGGCAGGGAGCAGGGCTGTTCCCCAAGCTGTAGTGGCATCCCTCTCTGTTTCTGGAGACTCATGGTCCTGTTCCTGCTTTTGGCACTTGTCACCAGCTCCCAACCAAATGCTCTTTTCCAGACACTGTTTGTTTTCCCTGCTGCAAGCAGGTACTACTATTTAAGTAGTGACTGCTATTTAAGATTCCTTTTAAATACAACTCTCCCCTGCTGTTCTCCAGTATTTGTTAGGGGGGATTTAGTTGTAATTGCATTTTGGCAATCTAAGCAAAAATAGTCTTACAAGGCAGGGCTGAAATATTAGCTGCAGGTTCCTTTTATTCTCAGCACATTTAGCTTTTTGCAGATGACATCACTTAGGGCTTTATCCTGTTGTTGTGCCCAGCTGTGCGTCATGTCCACCTCTGTTATTTTGTGTACTCGCCCACTTCTCGCCTCTGATGCCCCTTGTCTGAGCTGGTGCTGATGAGTGCAGGCTTGCTATTAAATCTGAAAATGCTGTGGTCCTGCTGTGCTCGCCTTCAAACACGCTTTGTGAGTGAGCTGTGGAAGAGCCCTTCCCAGGGAGGCTGCTCCTCTCCTCCCACTGCCCCCGTGGTTGAGATTTAGAGGAACTCAGCACATGTTCCGCTTGCTCAGCCTTGAAGAGAGTGAGCTGGCTGGGTGTGGACTTTGTCCTCTCTTTAAGGCTACTTTCCCTGAGGTCAGGAAAAAAGCAGTGGTTGATCAGTGCCAAGCCAGGGGACTTCTATAGCCTGGAGGGGGATGGAGCCAGACTGGTTTTTGAGCTGGGCTTTTGGTTTGTGGTCCACTGTGTCCTGCTAATGAGAAAGGTGAAAACACCAGTATGAGGTTTTTTTGGAAGGGAAGGAGCTTCTGTTGAGCTCTAGAAAAAGTTTTCAGATCCTCTTCATTCAGGAAGGAAGCCTCTAGCCATGGGAGCACCAAATGTGCAGTGAGTCAAAACCTTTCCTGTTTTCGTTATCCCAAAGGCTTTGAACACTCTTGAACTTTAAATCCCCACAAAGTGGCCTTTGAGGAAGCTGGAAGATCTTTGAGCCCTGGAGCTCAAAAAAGAGCATTCCCTTGAGTTCTTCTTTCCTAAGGGGATGCTGAACTGTGGTGGGCTCATGGGCCCTGGGTGAGTTTGGCTACAGCTGGTCTGATGGGCACTGATGGCTCTTCCCAGCCCACAGAGAGAAAGGAGTTCTCTCTGTGGAGGGGAGCAGTTGGAGGATGATGTTGCCTTAGTGCTTCTTGATGGGGTGTGGGCACAGGAGGCTGATACTGGGCTGACAAAGCTTTTCCTCTCACTGCACTCCCCCCATAACCTTGGAGGAACCTACAAGGTGTTCCCCCACCAGATCCTGCAAGGTACATCTGCTGCCCAAGATCTGTGACGTACAGCTCTTGCTTTTGTTCTTGTCTCTGGAATGATATACCACAGAGATCTCCTGAGAGCTCATAAAACCACTGCTTGGAGATGGTGGAGAGTGTGATCTCAGTTACGTGCTCCTAGCAGGCTGGAAGAGCTCATCTGTTTCCACTTGTGCTGTATGGACATGCTGAAGCCTGAGCTCACTGGAAGAAGCAGCATCCCTAGAGTGGTAAGAAGTAGGTGACAGTACCCAGCCCTGGAGACTGGCAGCAGGGCAATAGGAACCCAGTAATCAATGGGAAATGGCCAGGCAAAGACAGACCAGAATTCATTAATTATGCATCTTCTTGGGGACAGAAGATAGAGCCTGGGGGCTGCAGACATGCCTCGTGCTCTGGTTTGGGCAGCTTATGGCAGCTCCTGGCCCTCGCAGGGCTGGGGACACTGGGCCAGGAGGGTCTGTCCCTTCAGCCACTGAGAGGACATGGCTGTGGCAGGACAGGAGTACTGCACAGTACCATCACCTACCAGCAAGACTGTGGCCAGGAGTACAGTGCCCCGGGACCTGGTCACCTCACCTGGGTCATGGCCATGGGAGGTGACCCAGGCAGGGGGCAGGACCCAGCTAAGGTCCTCTGAGCACCCCTGCCTGACAGGGGTGGGCACCATCCCCATCTCCTTCAAGGTGCCAACTGGGAGCTCCATATTCACCTGTTGTTGGTGCTGTGGGCACCACACATCTTGTAGGGATAGGGCAGGAAAAGCCACCTTGCAGAAAGCAGCGGCAGGCTGGCACAGCCCTGAGTGGTTCCGGGCCACGACCAGGCTGCAGATGCCCAAGAAGTGATGTTTCAGCTGCTGTGTGTTTTCCTCCCACCCCATCCGTGCCCACAGTGCCCTCACCCCTGTCAGGCAGTGCCAGGGGCAGTTGTGGGCAGTAACCAACTGGTTTTCTCCCAGCAGCAGCAGAGGCAGCCAGTGCTGGGACTGTGAGGCTGATGCACGTCCTGGAGCCAGGCGCAGGTGACGTGAGCTGGATCCCAGAGGAGCAGATGCTGCTTGCCACCATTCCCAGGCTGACCTCTCTCATCTCCCCTGCCAGCAGGGACAAAGCCATGGGGCCCCAGAGGTCACTGAGGGGCACAGGGGGATGCAGCATTGCTAGGATGGGGGAAGGGGCTGTGCTTGACAGAGATGATCCATAGGGCAAGGAAGGCTGGTGGGGGAGGGAGTTGTGCTGATGCTCCCAGCAGGATGGATGCCATGGGGCACATATCCCTGAGGGTGTCTGGGGGGCTGGTGGCCCAGTCTTCCCATCACAAGCTGCTTGCTAGGGATCAAGGGACAGCACTTCAGCTGTCCCCAAGACCCACAGTCAGGGCATAAATTGAGGGAAGACTTAGCTACCACCAATCCTATCCATAGCTCTATTTTTGCCCCAGAACGGGCAACTGTAGCTGTGATTCCTGCCCCACTACCATGAGAGGGTTGACAGTATTCCCATTTGTCCTGGGCTGGAATTTGTAATTTGCAGTGGGGTGATGTGACTCTTGCTGCCAGCACTGCTGCATGGCCTGTTAGATGTCTGACTCTGTTCCCGTTTCTCCATGCCCCATCCCACAGGACTGTGCAGCCTTAGAGGTGTGTGGCCAGCCTGCACAGGGTGCACATCCAGCCTCTGAGGCGGGTGGGCATGGAGCAGAGATGCAATGGAGGCCTGCAAGATTTGGGGGTTTTATTTCCACATTCAGCACAGCATGAGCATGCCACGTTCCTCCTTCCCCCATCTCCACCACTTGGCTGGTGGGCACCTGTGAGCATCACTGTGGCAGGTACTGCTTGGGGTCCCCAGGGAAGGGCAGGGCAGGTGCCTGGTTGAAGTGAGCCACGAGGAAGATTCCAACAGTGCCACACACAAAGAGGGAGGCCATGATGAGGAAGCAGACGCGGTCGATCACCTGTCCCACCATCATCCACTCTTCGCTCTCCTGCCAGTGGCACAAGAAGGGTGAGGGCTGTGCCCACTGCCCCCCATGCAGATCCCTCTCCCCCCAGCCCTGACTCACGCTGCTGAAGTCGTTCTGCTCCCGTGTGGCATTGGCGATGTAGTTGCAGGCATCCACGCAGGCGCGGATCTCGGGACCTGCCTCCTCCAGGCTCTGGCAGAAGTCCTGGGTACTGCCACTCTCCAGACCACGTCCTATGAGTACCAGAGCCAGCACAGCAGGCACCAGCAAGCGCTCAGCCACCTGGCACAAAGCCCAGCTTCACAGGGAGGTGCCAACCCCCCAGGGTCACTCACCAATCTTGTCCAGCACAGTTTTCATCAGCCCATCTCTTTCCTTCTGCTTCTCAAAGAGCAGCTCGGTCCTGGCTTTCCAGAGCATGTACTCATCAGCTTTCACCATGAGCCCCAGGGAGCTGCGTCTGCGGATGGCTTGTGGAGGCCCTGGGGTCTCCTCTGGCACAGCCATGCCCAGGTAGTGGGGCAGGAGGTGCAGGAACACCTGGGCATAGTGTCACTTGTGGGGATCCATACAGCACAAGTCCCCCTCACACTGCCCAGAGCACCCAATGGGTGTGACTGGTTTCCCTGGCATTGCTTGGAGCATGGTGCTATTGGGATGTTGGCACCTGCT